TGTGTATGTGTGTGTGTGATTCTAGATTACCACAGTAGCTTTAAAGAGAATTCACAGATACTCTTCACCTTAATTCACCAAATGGTTAATTTTACTTTTGAAATTCAGGATAGGCAGTGAATTTATTCTGATTCAACATGCATTGAGCACCTTCTCAGTACTATTACTGTATTAGGTTAAGAGAGAACAAAGATAACTATTCACACCACTAAGTTGCCAAGTCAATTAGGAAACACATATAAATACATAATTACTGTATATAAAATATTGCATGTACAAAGATTATAATGTTATATAGAAGGAATATAGAAAAAGGAGAATCAGAATTTTCAAAGATCAAAAATTCACTACTCAAGAGGATCATGAGATTCTAGGACAGCCATATTGTTCTAAGACAGAGCACTCTTCATAGTTGAAGCATAAGACTGCTATTACCAGCATTTGGAGTTCAATAGGGGACTCATGGGAAATGGGACTGGAAAGGAAAGTAAGAGCCAAATAATGAAAGACTTTGAATGTTATGAGTGATTCAGCAGGAGAATGATGTAGTTAGAGTTTACTTTTATCCCCATAGCAAATATGGATTGATTTTTTTGTTCTTTTCCATTATTGGAATGACAAATCACCAATTTTATTATTCTATCTAATACATAAAAATGTTTTCTCAACAGAATGAACTAAAATTGTCCCTGACTTCTATGAAAGAAGTACAAGAGAATTTGAAAGCAAAAATTGTGGATTCTCCAGAGAAGCTTAAGAATTTTAAAGAAAAAATGAAAGATACAGTCCAGAAGCTTAAAAATTCCAGGGTTTGTTTTCTTCTTATTTTAATACTAATCTGAATTTTAACTTTTGTTAGTCATGTGTTTTCTAATTTCTCGATTATCTATACTCCTCATCCTCTTACACTTTTTAACTTTGTCTCTGATTTGTAGCTCTTGTCTAAAATGAGTATGGAGGAAAAAAAATATAATTTCAAGACATTCATTGAATTATGCAACAGATTTTTGCATAATTGATCCAAATACAAATGCCCTGTTCTCATGAGATTTTGTTTCTTTCTTAAAAAAGAGAGAAGTGTTAAATAAATTTAAAATCAGTTTTATAATTATAAACTATAAAATATTCTAACAAAAAGCATAGGGTTTCTTTGAAATAATTTAATAATGGGCCTAATTTAGTATTCCAAAAAACCAAAAACCAAACTCACTGCCATTGAGTCAGATCCGACTCTTAACGACCCCTCTTTGAGTTTCTGAGGCAGTATCCCTATGAAAGTAGATTGCTCAAACTTCCTCCCAAGGCTCCCATTATTACATTATTTCAAAGAAACCCTATGCTTTTTCATAGAATATATTTAGTATTAAGGAGCTCTGGTGGTGTAGTGCCTAAGATATTTGGCTACTAACCAGAAGGTTGGCAGTTTAAACCCACCAGCCACCCCACAGAAGGAAGACTGAGCAATCTACTTCTATAAAGATTTATTGCCTCAGAAACCCAAAGGGGGTTGCTATGAGTCAGAATCGACTTGATGGCAGTGAGTTTGCTTTTTTTGTTTAATTTAGTATTAGAACAATCAGAGATGGAATGGGAAAAGAAGTGAAAACGTATACCGATAACTGGAGGATAATAGTGGCTATCTGGGCAAATTGTACATGGAAGCAAAGATAACAGTATATACAAATTGTGTGCGATAGTTGGGAACAAGGTATGTTCGAGGAACAAAGCATGGTCAATGAGGAGAGTAGCACAAGATAATGATGGAGAAACAGGCAACAGGAAGATTACGTAGGGTGTTGGATTTTATTTTAAGAGCAACAGCACATCAGTGACTAATTTAGAAAGAGGATGTAGAGACATATATGATTTATGTTTAAATGTTATGAGATTATGGGAGGTGGCTTGAGGTGGAGTTAGGTAAAAGTGGGTAGACATTTAGCCTCCTTTATGAGGCAAGGTTTTCAAGAAAAGTGTTGGCTTATCTTTGAATTTGTTATCTAAGCCATTCCTGATAATTAAGAATTGTCAAACAGGAATAGACACAGATCAGCAGAACAAAAATGGGAACCCAGAAAGAGATCTGAGTATGGGAAGAGGATGGTTAGTAAATATTTCTGGCCCAATTGGCTGTTCACCTAGAAGAAAAGGGAGATGTGCCTGTACCTTGCACTATTTATAAAAATTTATTCCATGTGAGTTAAAAATTTAATTTTAGAAATGTTAGGAGAATATTTGTATAATCTTGAACTGGGATAAAATTTTTTAAAAATTTGGTTTTGGAAACCCAAAAGTTACAGAGAAAAATAGGTTTCTTAGAATATATGCAATGCATATGGCAGGTATCTATGATATGCAAAGATGGTTGAATATTTCACTGACAACAAAATCCACAGGTTACACACATGTGATCCGCAGCCTATACGACTATGAGATCAGAAGAAGTAGATGGTGCCTGGCTACCACTGTCAACCACTCAGAGGGGGATCTATGTAGGAGATCCTGGATAGAGAGGGAGAACAATGTGGAACAAAACTCAAAATTATTTGGGGGGAAGAAGAGGGGAGACCAGTTTTGCTCCTCTGATAAAGCCTGGTGGAACCCCTGAGATGATGGCTCCTAGCTGCCCTTCAGGTCTGGAATTGAAGCCATACCTGTGGCTTCCAGCCAAACAAAAGACAGGCATATGAGTTGAAAATTTACCTGAGGTAGATACACTCCTTGGAGAGAACAATCATGGAAGAATAGAAGGGCTGTGTATGCACAGGGAGACATCTCAAGGGGCAGGAGTGCATGGAGGGAGGGACACAGGGAAGAGGTAACTATCGGGAGGAAGTGGGAGGGGAACTGTTGCATTGGGGTAAATTGTGGTCACTGTCATGAGACAAAGTGTATGTGAACTGTTGTATGGAAAGTGAATTTGCTCTGTAAATTTTCACCCAAATCACAATTAAAAAAAAAAAATCCACCAGCTAATAAACATGTTGTATGAGGGTAGGCCAATGAGGAAATAAGAAGAGTTTGAAGGGATTTTAAATTTTAACTATTTATCTTTATATTGTTTTAGTGGTTGTAATAAGCATATTTATTTTGTAATTTTGGAAGAAGAATTCATCTTTTTAAAAGACTTGGCTGTAACTAATAGTTATTGTAAGATACAAATGAACAGGAAAATTATGAATGGGTAAGACAGTTGCCCAGGAGTAATCAGTAGTTTGAGTATTAACAAAAGTAAAGTCTTGGAAGGTACTTCAATGAGTGATTTAGAAAAATTACAGCAGTTTTCTTTTGTTCAAGGAAATTTGGCAATTAAGAAGCCTAATTATATGTGCTTAGACACATGTCAGTAATAGTGCTTTGTTACTGACCTAGAAACTTAATTGTTCTCTGCTTTTACGCATTCAGTACTAAGTGCAAAATTATTTAAGAGCAAACAAATTGACATCAGTGCAGTTACATAAAGGGGCTTATCTGTGTTTTTTTTTTCTTTCAAAGCAAGAAGTGATGGAAAAATATGAAACCTATCGAGACTCGGTTGACTGCCTTCCTTCATGTCAGCTAGAAGTGCAGTTATATCAAAAGAAAATACAAGACCTTGCAGATAATAGAGAAAAACTAACCAGTATCTTAAAGGAGGTTTGTAGCATGTGAAATTTTTATGTCTTTATTTTGTTATAGTTTATTATTGTTTCTTGGATTTGCTTTATTTTTTTTTTGTTCATATTTTCCTGATGAAAAGCAGGATCATATTACAGTATAATAGATGTAGCAGTGTATGCTAGGGATGTATTATTCCTTTTACTAAGACTCATTTTAACCTTCAAATGAAATGAATACTAAATTAACATAGCCCAGTTGTTCCATGTTTATTTTGGAAAATAGTAATGGAGTATAAACTTTTTCTGATAGTTGGAAATGATCTTCTAATCAATAAGCATAAAGTTCCAATTTTGTGCCAGCATTGTACCTAGGCCCTATAAAGGGACTTTAAAGTTTATGACGTTGTCCCTGCCCTGAAGAACAAGAGCTTATGCCAACATTAATCAAGTTTGTCAGGCTAGAAACTTGAAAGTCATTTTTTACTTCTTCATTATACCAGTGCACTCTCCCCAGGTTCAGTCACATTGCATTTGTATAAAATATATTTTTGTTTTATTTTTGAGGGAAGTTAAGTTAGAAGGTGAAAGCGCCAGAGCTATTTTTTTCCAGCTACGCTACACGCTCGCCTTATCTGCTGTTAGAATTATTGAAAAAAGGAGATTCACTGCTTTTAATTGCTTTTAGATATGCCCTTTTCTCTTTGTTCCTTTGTTCAGAACCTAACCACCCCCCCTCAACTCTAGCCTCTTACCTAATCTTCCTAATATATTTCTCTATTTCAATCCTTGCTGATAGAATATCATGGCAAAAATTGATAGAATGACATGTGAAAACAGCTTCTAGTTGGTATGTTGTTTCTCACAACATGTAATGCCTTCCTGTTTGTTGTTTATTGGTTCAGTCTGTATTCTTCTGCCTGACTTCCAGGATTTATACAGTTTTATCTCACTGAAAAAAATTATATTTTATAATACTTCATCCTAGGAATTGTACTTTTGATTATAAATCCTAGTTGGTTACATTAACTTTAAATATTTCTCATAAAATATAGAGCCTGAACTTGGAAGACCAAATTGAGAGCGAAGAGTCAGAACTGAAGAAATTGAAGACTGAAGAAAATTCATTTAAAAGACTGATGATTGTGAAGAAAGAAAAGCTTGCCACAGTACAGTTCAAAATAAATAAGAAACATGAGGATATCAAGCAGTACAAACGTACAGTAATTGAGTATGAAGTCGTTTTCAGTTTAATGTATTAAAAAGTAATTAGGAAAACCCCATAAATTTTCCCCTAGGATTCCAAAACTACTGTATTTTCTAAAAGGTATTCCACCTTTAGGTGGCTGATACTGTTATGTCCAGATTTAGAGATGTTTTAGCTCCAAGTTTTAGTTTGTTTGTTGTTTTTTGCTTTTCCAGATATCACAATTCCAATTCCCTAGCATAATCCTTCAGAAGGATTCTGAGGCTAATACTTATTTCAGTGTACTCCTGGAGCTGCATTAGGATGAATTACTTGATCCATCTTACAGTTCAGCTGGTTCGTAGAGTTGTAGCATCCATAGTTTGTGGAAAAGCCTTATTTTTTTATTTAGTTAAGAATTCATACTCCACTAAGCCTTTTGGTTTTATTTCTTCAGCCAGTATATTGGGGCATTTTCATTGGTAAGGTCTTCCCTTCAGTTGTAGGAATGTGTTTTTAGATATGCCTATGAGATATTATTGGGAGCTCTGGTAGCACAGTGCCTAAGGCATCTGACTGCTAACCAGAAGGCTGGCGGTTCAAACCCACCAGCCACTCCTCAGAAGGAAGATGGGGCAATTTACTTCCATAGTGATACTGCCTTAGAAACCCAAGGAGGGGTCACTATGAGTCGGGTCCGACTCGACGGTACATAACAATAACAACAACATGAGATATTATTACTTCAGCTTCTAAAAGGCACATAAGGATTTCTGAGTATGTTCTTCACTCTTCCTCATGCAGAAACCTAAGGCTTTGGGTTGTTGTTGTTGTTGTCAAACTGCCTTCCATGAAAGTTGTACTGATTGCCATTCCCACCAACAGTACCTGAGTGTTCACAGCAAGGGAGATGTAGTAACTTAAAGTTTCCATTTTAGATAATAATCTTTGGGTGAAAGGTTCACTATATGCCATGATATGATTATGGTACCACATTTTAGGGCTTTCATATATTTGCTTTTATATCTTGAGAACAATTTTAGGTTTGTTAAGCAAATATATATCACCACTTTGGAATCAAAATTAGAGCTAAATGTTTGCCTATTTAGATGCTTAAGAATTATAATTTAGCTGTTTCATTTCCCTTAGGGATTGTAATAAAGTTCAGGAAAAAAGAGGTGCTGTCTATGAGCGAGTAATCACAATTAATCAAGAAATCCAAAAAATCAGATTTGGAATTCAGCAGCTAAAAGATACCACCGAGAGAGAAAAACTCAAATCTCAGGTAAGTATGTGTTTAAAAAATTAATATGAGATAATTTCATGAGTTTAAAATGTAAATTATGTCACCTTCATTATGAAGATTTTGTTAATTTTCTGGAGTAGAAATTGACCCTACAGGTCATATGCTTTTATTTCCGTTTATAGCACCTTTTCCATAACCTTTGTCTTGTATGTCTCCCCAGAATCTTTTCCCTTTCTTGTCTTTTTACCCCTGAAAACACCTAGCAGAATACTGTGCTTTGCAGTAATAGTAGTTGCTCCATAAATACTCTGGGTGTTTTTGGTAAATGAAATTGGATAGTAGTTTTAAGTAATATGTTATAAAAAGTTTCTCCACTGTGCATATTTATGTATGTATGTGTATGTGTATTGTTTTTTTCCCCCTTTAATAAAGGGATTCAAAAGTATTCCATAGCATCAGTGGAAAATGTGTTTGTTAGCTGAAATGCAATACTTAGATTAGCCCCTATATAAGACTTTTAATGCTAGCTTTATCATAATTAGCCAAAATTACTTAGTACTTTTAATTCTTTGCTTGTTTCAAGTGTTTATTTTATCACATCATAAACAATCTTATGTGTAATAAGGACAAGCCTCTTCCCCATTTTTATGTTAAAATGCTAGTCACCAAGACATACCATAATCAAACTCACCAAAACCAAAGACAAAAAAAGAATCCTGAAAGCAGTACAGGAAAAACAAAAAGTTACCTACAAAGGGCAACCAATAAGACTAAGCTCTGATTTCTCTGCAGAAACCATGCAGGTAACAAGACAGTGGGATGGTATATATATAAAATCCTGAAAGAAAAACCTTCTAACCAAGAATTACGTACACAACAAAATTGTCCATCAAACATGTTGATGAAATTAGGACATTTCCAGATAAGCAGAAATTAAGGGAATTTGTTAAAACCAGATCAACCTTACAAGAGATACTAAAGAGATTCCTTTGAACAGAGAACCAATAATAGCAAACAACAACCGACCATTAATACACATGATGACATAACCCAGACCAACCCAGTTATTGAAGTATCCAAAGTAAAATAAGCTTACAAGACTGTAAACGGGGAAGCAGAGGCATCATTTGGTAAATGAAAACCACTACAAACCAAAAAGAGGGAATAAATAGTGCAGTTATGGAACTTCTAAATGGTGAGGAAATCAAGACAATTGTGAGATAGAACAGACTTTCCTAAACTTGGGAAGAAAATTATAAATCACAGGGTAACCTCAAAGAAAAATAATAAACCTTTGCATCAGAATTAAAAAGACAAGCACAAATATGTAGCAAATACTAAAACAATAGCAATGAAGGAGATGATAACACAATTCATAAACAAAATGAACTCAGCACAGGAAATTATATGGAACAAAGAAATCAGCAACACCATGAGAAAACACATAACAAAATGACAATGACAAATTCATACTTGTCGATAATTACACTGAATGTAAATGGATCAAATGCATCACTCAAGAGACAGTGGGTTGCAGACTGGATAAGAAAACATAATCCAGCGATACACTCTCTACAAGAGACACATAGAGACAAGAGCAAAAACAGACTAAAAATCAAGGGTTGGAAAATGATGTATCAAGCAAATGGCACTCAAAAAAGAGCAGGAGTGGCAATATTAATTTCTGATAAAATTGACTTTGAAACGAAAACTACCATAAGAGACAAGGAACGACATTATATAATGATTAAAGTATTGATTGAACAGTAAGACATAACCATAACAAATATCTGCACACCCAGTGAATGAGCCCCAAAATACATGAATGAGACTTTAACAGAATTGAAAAGACAAATAGATGACTCCACTGTGATAGCAGGAGATTTTAATACACCACTCTGTTGCAATTAAGTACTTGGTATGACTTTTCTAGCCATGGTCTTTGTGATTCCCACCAGATTACTGGGTGGGATCATGCAAATAAGGTATATGGAACTCTGATGTTGGGATTGGTTAGTTTTGTCCATCTGCCAGGCTTGAAATGTGCCTTCCTAGAGGCAGAAGGGAGGACTCACTGAAATTAAGAGAGAGGAGCTGGAGATAAAGTACAGCACATCCTTGGACCCAAGATCCCTGCATCGGATCTCCTTAGCAGAGAAGCCCCAGCAGACATGCCTGGCTGAAAGACAGCAGCACCGGAACCAAGAGGCAAGATACAGAGTGGTGGGCTTGCTTGGCCAACAGAGTGAGAAAGCTGAGTGCCATTGGGCAGGAGGCTTGCTGGTGGAGTAGGGTGCACATAGGTGTACCTATCAACAGAACTAAAAGAACTTTTTAACACGCTTGCACAAGCAAGGCAGAGGCCAGGCCAAGGGGGCAAGGGCCAGAGAGGCATACCTGAGGACATAGCAGAAGAGAGATTCCTGACTGAAGAACTGTATCCTGAGTGTGTTTCTGAACCTGAATTGTAGCCTGTTACTTCCCTAATAAACCCCATAGTCATCAGTATTGTCTGTGAGTTCTGTGTGGCCATTGCAACAAATTATTGAACCTAGCAGAGAAGTAATGAGTGCTGTGGGAGGGATGATTTGTGTCAGAATTGATAAAAAGGCTGGAGGGTGACAGCATGTCTGGCCTCATAGGAATAAGCCTTGGGCTGTTGATGGTGACTCTGTTTCCCCCTTGTGAGGGTGGAAGAGCTCAGAAGATGCTACTCCTATGGCCGTTTTGCAACCATTTTCAATGAAAGCTGGAACACCTGAAAAGAAACTCAACAAAGACACAGAAGAACTAAAACTGCATGGTTTCTGCAGAGAAATCAGAGCTTAGTCTTAACTGGTTGCCCTTTGTAGGTAACTTTTCCTTTTTCCTGTGCTGCTTTCAGGATTCTTTCCTTGTCTTGGTTTTGGTGAGTTTGATTATGATATGTCTTGATGACTAGCATTTTAACATAAAAATGGAGAAGATGCTTGTCCTTATTAAACATAAGATTGTTTGTGATGTGATAAACACTTGAAATAAGCAAAGAATTAAAAGTATTAAGTAATTTTTGGCTAATTATGATAAAGCTAGAATTAAAAGTCTCACAACATACAGGGACCAATCCACTAACTTGACCGAATAGATATCTACAAAGTACTTCACCCAACAACAGCACAATATACATTCTTTTCCAGCATACGTGCAACATTCTCCGGGATAGACCATATGTTGGGCCACAAAGTAAGCCTCAGTAAATTTAAAAACATTGAAATACTGTGAAGCATCTTCTCAGATCACAATGCTATAAAATTAGAAATCAGAAATAGGAACATCAACAGAAAAAGAGCAAACACATGGAAACTGAATAACACCCTCCTTAAAAGCTACTAGGTAATAGAATAAATAAATAAAATTTAAAAATTCCTTGAACCAAATAAGAATAAAGACACAACATACCAAAATCTTTGGGACACTGCAAAAGCAATGCTCAGAGGCCAATTTAAAGCAATAAATACATGAAAAAAGAAGAAAGACCCAAAATCAACCCCTTAACCCTATATCTCTGATAATTAGAAAAAGAGCAGTGAAAAAAGCTTAAAATGACCAGAAGCAAAGAAATAAGTTTCAAGCAGGAATAAATGAAACAGAAAATAGAAAGTTGAAAAAATCAACAAGACTAGAAGTTGGTTCTTTGAAAAGATTAATAAAATGGACACACCAGTGGCAACCTAAACAAAAGAAAAGAGGGAGAGGATACAAATAACATGAATAAGAAATGAAATGGGTAATGTCACAACAGAACCAACTGAAGTAAAAAGGTTAATATCAGGATACTATGAAGAACTGTACTCCAACAAGTTTGAAAATCTAGACGAAATGGACAGATTTCTAGAAACGTACTGCTTACATAAACTAGAATAGACTGAGGTGGGAAATTTGAACAGACCCATAGTAAAAGAAGAAATTAAGCAGGTCATTTAAAAATACCAACAAATGAAAGTCCTGGCCCAGGCAGTTTCACTGGAGAATTCTACCAAACGTTCAGAGAAGAACTGGCACTAGTCCTACCCAAACTATTCCAGAACATAGAAAAGGATGTAATCCTCCCAAATGCACTTTTTCTTGGGGGGGGGGGTGCTTTGTGTGCACATTTACAGAGCAAAATTTGTTTTACATTGAAAAGTTTGTATACATTTGATTTCACTCTCTGATTACCATCCCCAACACTAATCCACTCTCCTCCTTGCCCTTCCCTGTGACCTCTGCTCCCCCTTGCCCCATGCCCTTCTTAACTATGCACTCCTGTCTGTCTAGCTTTCCCTTCATGTGAATGGTGCCCCTCTGGTGCCCATCGCTGATTGCTCCAAGGGTGTATCTCATTAGAGTAGGTGGGTGCATCTCCCTGGGTTGGGTGTTCTGTGTGCAAGTCTTTCTTCTGTTGGACTGAGAGCCAATCTTTGGGAGTGAGTCTTATCCATGGCCCGAAGGGTATCCCAGGCCTTGAGGGTCCTGCCAGACTCCATCTAACCAGTACTTCTGGTCATTATTGTGTTTTTGGATTTTGTTCCATGTTTTTCCTCTGACGCTATCCGGGGTCTCCAGTTTTGATCCCTTCCTGGGTGGTTGGCATTGGTAGCTGGGCAACATCTAGTTCTTCTGGTCTCGAGGTCCATTATGTGCCTGGACTAATTGTTTCCAAATGCCCTTGATTTTCTTCACTCTTCTTCACTTCAGATTAGAGGAGACCATTGGCTGCATCTTAGATGGCCATATGAAAGCTTTTAAGATCCCAGTCACTACTAGCCAAAGTAGGTTGCAGAACAAGATTTTGATGTACTATGTTGTGCCAAGGAGCTCTGGTAGTATAGTGCCTAAGGCATTTGACTGCTAACCAGAGGCTGGCGGTTCAAACCCACCAGCCACTCCTCAGAAGGAAGGTTGGGCAATCTACTTCCATAGT